TTATTATATCTTTACCTCTGCCTTCATAAGTGAGATGATCCTGGACAGTTTCCCATCTTTTTGCCCTAGACTTGCTTATGTAGCATAAGAATCACATGTTCCTTAAAAGTTTAAAATAGCTTACTTATAAAACTAGTATATAGACACCAAATTTTAATAATTCTAATAATGCTTTTCATTTCTAAATAATAATAGCTGTCATTTATTGGATGATTATTACTATGAACAAAAGCTATAATGACTGCTGCACACATCTCATTTATTTCATCCTCAGAATTGGTGTCATTTATATTCATCTCAGAATCAGTTATCATTGTTCCCATCTTACAGATCAGAAAGTTGAGGCTCTGAGAGGGTAAACAGCTAGACCAAGCTCTTGCAGAGAATGAGCTGGGATGAGAACCTAGGCTGTCTGACTCCGAGTTACCTGCCTTTAGCAGCAAGATATCATGCTGCCTCCCAAACCCGTTTCTTGTCTTTTTGTTTCAGTTTTGATCTCTTTAAGTTTTCTGTGCCTATGGCATCAGTTTTGCTAGTTTATTAGTTTTTTAAGAAATCATTAATTTTACTGAGATTTTTTTTAATCCCTTAGTTGTCTCACAATTTTTATCTCTGTTTCCGTAGTTATATTCATTCATTATTAATTCAGTTTATGTTTTCTCCCTTTCTTGATTATTCAAAACTGTATGTTAAATTGGGAGAAAATGTCTAGGAATGTGGAGGAGGCTATGTAACATTCTAACATGGAAACAAAGGTTTTTATTTCTTTGAAAATATTCTCTTTCCATCTACCTTTGTTTCCCTTTTCCTGTCCTCTACCCTAGCCTTAAAAGAACAGAACGCTTAGGGATAGAAAGACTCTTAGGGGTACTTGGTGGAGCCCATAACTGAGCAGGGCCTGGACTGGCTTTCTACCTGTCCCAGGCCACGCAGTTAGCAAGTGACAGCCAGGAGAAGCCAGGCTCTCTTCTTCCTGTCTCGTTCTCTTTCCACTCTACCACACCACATGTTATAGATTGAATTATTAATCTTCTATCCTCACCCAAGGATGTATGTATTGATTTTTAAAAAACAATTTTTTTAGAGAGATAGGAAAGGGGAAAGGGAGGGAGGGAGGGAGGGAGGGAGGGAGGGAGGGAGGGAGAGAGAGAGAGAGAGAGAGAGAGAGAGAGAGAGAGAGAGAGAGAGAGAGAGAGAGAATCACCAATGTGAGAGAGAAACATCGAACAATTGCCTCCCATATATGACCAGGATACCATGCTGCTTCCCAAACATCTTGTCTTTTTGTTTTGGTTTTGATCTCTTTAAGTTTTCTGTGTCTATGGCATCAGTTTTGCTAATTTATAGACCAAGGGTTGAACCCAAAACCTAGGTATGTGCCCTGACCAGGAATTGAACCCACGACCTTTTGGTGCACAGGATGACACTCCAACTAACTAAGCCATCCAGCCAGGGCAAATCATTTATTTATTTATTTATTTATTTATATCCATTTTTTTTTTCTTTTTTAAAAATTTGTTTGGGGTGAATTGTTAATTTTTAAGACAATGAATTAATGAAGATTGCAAAGTAATCTTCATTACTAAAAGCTTTAAGAATGTTAAAGCCACTTAATTTTAAAAGATCGCTATCAATCATCTTCCATGGTGCTCCTGCTTTAAACCACTTTCTGGAATGAGGATCCAAGGAAAGCAGGCGTCAGGCAGGAAGAGGCATGTCTTCATCCCTTCTTGGGAGCCCCTTTACCAGCAGAAGGGGAAACAATGACATGGTCCAGCCTAGCCGGGCCTCAGGCTTTCTACCAGGTCTGCAGGGAACAAAGGAAAAGCTCTGCCCAAGGGCAGGCTTGAGGCACCTGCAGGGTTACTGGTTAGGGTGGGTCCGGGCATCAAACTCAGCGACTGTGAAAGGGGGAGGGACAGCACCTCTATGGATGATGGAAGGAGGTGTACCCGCTCTCTCATGGCCCAGACAGCTTTCACAACATAATCACCTCAAATTGCTCATTTCCCAGGTACTGGGCATGTGTGTGGGCAAGTGGGCAGATGTTTCTATCCACTGCCTGATCCACAGTCTGCAATTATGCCCCAGGGAACAAGCTGCTCGCTGTGTTTAGGGGCCATTAGCCACTGAAATAATGACATCTGTCAGAATTTTCATACCTCGTCCTGTCCTGGACCTTATCTCCAAATTACTCAAAATGAATACCTAAAGTTCCTGAAATAGACCAACCCAATTTAAACAGCTCTACACTAGCTGCCATTGTGGTGAGGGTTTTAGGTTGAAAAATACCTAATAATTATTGAGTGTTTTCCACATGCCTGGCATTGTAGAAAGTTCCGCCCTGGCCGGTTTGGCTCGGTGGATAGAGTGTGGCCTGCGGACGGAAGGGTCCCAGGTTTGATTCTGGTCAGAGGCATATGCCCAGGTTGTGGGCTCAGCAGCCAATCAATGGTTCTCTCTCATCATTGACGTTTCTATCTCTCTCTCCCACTTCCTTCCTCTCTGAAATCAATACAAATATTTTATTTTAAAGAAAGTTCTTTACAAACAGCATCACTCGCCAAGCCCACCCAGATACTATACTTCTCCCCATATGACAGGCACAGAAACTGAGCCTCTGAAAAGTCCAGTAATTCACATCTAGAGGGGAACAAACCTGGATCCCTATTTCATCCTGTTTGACTCTCATGCTGTATCCTGACACAGAGACTGCGCCATTTGGCTAGCAAGATGCTCATATATATTGAGACAAAGCGGTGAAGTCGAGGCAATCTAGTTTTGTATAGGAGCTAAATAAGGTCTTGGGTCTAAAATAATGGAACATTTGTTTAATGCAGTGATTCTCAACTGGGGGCAGCAGTGCTTGCCTCAAGGGGGCATTTGGAAACATGTGAGGTTACATTGGGCCATTGTGGTAGCTGCACTGACCTGTCATATTGGTGGGCTCTCGAGATGCTAAATGCCCAGCTGTGTGCAAAGCAGCTCCAGGCAATGAGGCACTGTCTAGCTCCAAACATCAGAGGCTGCTAAGAAACACTGACAAAGCCGAAAACTGTTTGGCTCAACGGTAGAGCATCGGTCTGTGGACTGAAAGGTCCCGGGTTCGATTCCGGTCAAGGGCATGTACCTTGGTTGCAGGCACATCCCCGGTGGGGGGGGGGGGGGTGTGTGCAAGAGGCAGCTGGTCGATGTTACTCTCTCATCGACGTTTCTGGCTCTCTATCTCTCTCCCTTCCTCTCTGTATAAAAATAATAAAATATATTAAAAGAAAAAAAAAAGAAACACTGACAAAACAGACTGGCAGGACTTTAAAATGATTCTATAAAAGTCAAGAATGGCAAACTCAAATGCCCTCAGGGTTCAGCCAGGGCTAAAGAGTATGTATCCCTAAATCAAACAAAATAGCCTAGGCTCTAGCTTTGGTCTGTGGGCCTCAATTGAGCTTTTTAATGGCATTTTTTCTCATCTCAAAACATATTTATAATACATTAAGTGAAGAGAAAAAGCTGCTAATTAGTATGATCCCATGTTTTTAAAATGAAAATATCTATTCTCTAGAGGCCCAGTGCACAAAATTCATGCATTGGGGTGGGTCCCCTCAGCCCAGCCTGTAACCTCTCACAATCTGGGACCCCTGGCTCCTAATTGCTCACCTGCCTGCCTGATCTCCCCTAACTCCCCCCCCCTGCCAGGCTGGCATGGCTGTGAGGGGTGACCAGGGTTGACCAGGCTGGCATGGCTGGGGTGACCAGGGGGGGAGGTCACCCCCAATTGCCAGCCATGCCAGCCTGGTCACCCCTCACAGCCTCCCCCCCTCTCCCTCCCGCCAGCCTGGTTTCTGCCAACTGTCTCCTCTGCCAGCCTGGTTGCCCCTCACCATCCCCCTCTGCTGGCCTGTTTGCCTCATGCAGCCAGCTGTTCGGTCGTTGATTCATCCCTCACTAACCCCCCTGCTGGCCTAGTCACTCCATGCAGCCTGCTGTTTAGTCATTACTGTGAGGGTGCCCTGACCAATTTGCATATTACCCTTTTATTAGTATAGATTGTTTAATTTTTAATAAATAAAAGATAAAAGGAAACTTAAAAAATTTAAACTTTGAGTGTGGTATCAGAACCCAACCCTGGTATCTTCCTGGTTACCCACTTTGATGGGAGAAGGAGAACGATTTCTGTGATTAAGGACAAATGAGACCTTCAACAGGAAGTAAATCAATACCAAAGCATTAGAGCCTGGCCTGGCTGGCTCAGTGTTTGGGCATCAAACTGTATACCAGGAGGTTATGGTTCGATTCCCAGTCAGAGCACATGCCTGGGTTTCGGGATCAATGCCCAGTGTGGAGCATGCAAGAGGCAGCCAATCAATGATTCTCTCTCATCATCAATGTTTCGATGCCTCTCTTCTACTCTCTTCCTCTCTCTGAAGTCAATAAAAAGATATATATTTAAAAATACTAAGGAGTGCCTTAAAAGTGGAACGCTGTTGATTTTGTAGACATTCTGGCCTGGCTCTCCTGCTCAAGTCCAGTCTTCCTTTTGCAGCTGCCCCAGTAATCAGTCTGGTACTGAAATTTGCTTGAGAAATAAGTATCTGCACTAAAACATATCTGTGCCCCTTTTCAATCAAGTCACCAAATCCTTCACGATCATTGTTTTTCCTGAAAAAATCCCCTCTTGCTTTATCTCGAGCATCCCTGCGTTTTCTTTGCAGCATCTGAGTTCTGTGGTTTTCATTCTGTGCACGGTCACTCGGAGCTCCGGGAGAGGAGCACCAATGGCCCCAAGCAGCTGACTTCCCCGGGGAAAACTGGGTTCACGTGCGGCCAGGAGTCCTGACCAGAGCCACCTTCCCTCCTGCAGGTCTCCTGACGGGCCTGCTGGTGGCGCCACTACTTGGACACGAGGTACCCAAGGTGGCTTCTCTCAAGTCTCCTCCTGCTGCACTGGGAAGCGCCCGAGCCCCACTCCCAACCCCAGGTCGCCCCGCAGGAAGCTGGCCATGCTGACAGAGTGAGTGAGGTCCCGCCAGGCTAACTGCTACAGCGGGCTTCCCAGGCCTTGCTGCCCAGAGAGCAGACACACAGCCACACCAGGGGGCTGCCTCTGGCTCCGGGCGGAGATGGGTTTGCAGCTGCATTGGCGTCTCTGTCACTTCTCACGCTGAGCCCTCTCCTTTCCCAACAGTGACATGAAGCTCTGGCATGGCTTAGTGATCGCAATGGTGTCCCTGGTCCTGCAGGCCTGCCTCCTCGCAGCCATCTACTACCTGCTCAGCAGACACATGGGTAACCGGCTCAGCGTCCTCTCCCCTCCTAGTTTCCCCCCGGGGACCGTTCCCCAGCCGGCAGCAAGGCCAGCTCCCTTGGGTGTCCCTGAGCATCACTTGAAAACCTTGAGGATTCACTGGTCAACTGGCCCCTCATCCTGACTGGGTAGTCCCCACTCAGACACAACCTGTTTCTGGTTGGGAATCATGGCCCAGAGTCCTTTCATTACCTGGACCTTCTGCCTAGAGACAGGCTTCTGTAATGCTCGTGAGGGTGGCCTCATGAACCTGGGCCTAACTTGTTTTCTTCATCACCACAAAGGACTGAACATGAAGAAATGGCTTTGAATTGCTACAGAAGGCAGTGTGGTTAGGTTAGACTGAGAGATCACCTTCAATCCTTGAACTGCTTCACAATGGAGAGTAGAGAAGCTGTGTCCTGGGAAGACATTACTATTGGGGAAAATAAAACATTTCTTTGGCTAAGGCAGGAGATTGGGCAGGATAAAGTCATGAAGGCTTTTCCAGTAAAGGAAGTTGAGACTTCTCTTCATCCATCCCTCTGTTTGTTCGTTCATTCATTCAATACAACAGGAAATAAACAAATAAAAAATATCTGCCCTTAGGTAACTTACATTCCTTAGGGGTACAGACAAAAAATAACATATAAGATAAATAAAATACATGGGTTGGATTATGGAAAATGCTAGGGAGAAGAAAAAAAAAAGAAAGGCGAGGGATATGGATTGAGTGGTGGCCAGAATCCCTGAGATGCTGATATCGTATCCTATATAATAAAAGATTAATATGCAAACTGACCGAACTGCAGAATGATGTGTCGCTATGATGTGTGCTGACTACCAGGGGGCAGACACTCAATGCAGGAGCTGGTGGTCAGTGCACTCCCACAGGGGGCGCTCCACTCAGCCAGAAGCCAGGCTCATGGCTGGGGAGCACCGCAACGGTGGTGGGAGACTCTCCTACCTCCGCAGCAGTGCTAGGAGCAGGCCTAAGCCAGCAGTCAGATATCCCGCAAGGGCTCCTGGACTGCAAGAGGCACAGACTAGCCTGACGGTCCCCTACCCCCCAGTGCATGAATTTCATGCACTGGGCCTCTAGTTTAATTATAAACTTGAGGGAAGCGAGGAAGTGACCTGCACCTGTAAAGGCCCTGAGACAGGAGAGTGTTTGACACATCACAGTGGGAGCAGAGGCTGGGTGGCTGCAGCTGAGGAGACAGCGTGAGAGAAGGAGGTGAGGTCAGAAAGGAAGAAAGCGTGAGGCCACAAAGAGCCTTCAAGGTTGGGACTTGGGCTTTTTCTCCAAGTGAGATGAGGGCTGTTGCAGTGGAGGGGGCTGAGATTTGAAACGTCCTTCTGATCGTTTGCCCTAAGGAGAGTGCTGCTCAGAAATAGGCGTGCCTGCCCCAGGGAGCTTTCACTTTGGACTCTTGCTTTGTTCCTTCTAGCCAAAGAGAATGAACAGTTACTCAGAAGATCCAGGCTCTGGGCCCCCAAGCCCAGCCCTGCCCGCCACCGCTCCCCTGCTGTACAGGAGACGAAGGAGATGAAGGAGACGAAGGAGCCCGGGGCAGAGAGGAGCACCCCTGCGTGGGAGCCCCGTTACAGGAGTGAGTGACGGAGCTGGGGAAACACGGTCATAAAGCGTACTGTGCTCTGTCTAGACAGCCGGAGAGCCACCCCGCAGCAGCCCATGTCTGTCCCTGCCACCCAAACCCAGCCCGGATTCCTCCCACCCACCCCAGTAGAAGCCTCGCTACCCTATCTTTTCCAGAAAGTCATTCACCCCATCAGTGGGGCAGGCCTTGTTGGGTGTGTGTGGGTCTAAGCTCTTTGCTAGGTCTGGTCACATGTGAACCACTGCAGAGGGGGCTTGGGGGCTGTTTCTGCTCCTGTCTTTGCAATCCTGAGGCATCTTTTCTTCCACCTGGCCTTCCACCTTCCTCCTTAGCGGTGGAGCCAAGATTCTGACGGACTCTGCCTGCATCCAGCTGTGGCTGATGCTATGCATCCTGCCATCTGGCCAGTGTCATTGGCTGGTCCCAGAAGCTGACTCCACCGTACTCCCAGGGGCTCCGTCTTAGATCCTCATGGGTGTCCGGGTACCTCGGTAAATACGAGTCTTGCTGATGGTTCAAATGCATGTCTGCCTCTGGCAAGTGGACCAACAGGCTCACCACCCTCTTGCTTTCAATCTCGGGGCTCAGGAGGCCCACCAATCCCTGTTGACACAGTGGACATGGTTGCTCTGCAGCATAACAATGACCCCTGAAGGAGCACCCCCCAGAGGCCATACTTTTTCCCATTGGTTCATCTCTTGACTGATTTGGGTTTGCTCCCTCCTTCCCCTGTGATCCGCTGAGCTGGAGAGATCTGGTTGTCAGGCTCCCTAGCACAGAGCGAAGGCCTTAGGGCACATGGGGGCCAGAAGATGCCACTCAGAGTTTCAGGCACTGGCCTCGGAGGTCATGACCCCTGACCCTAAAGCTGCACCAGAACCTGGCCAGACTCAGAGGCCCTTTAGATGCCAGGGAGGGTCCAATCCTCTTGGTTTAGGGGGGACAAAACCAGGGCACAAAAAAGGATGTGACCTGCCTGGAGTTAGGGACAGGTTAGACCAGAACCTGTGCCCATGACTTCTGAGGCCAGAGCTGTTTGCTGGGGGCACTCGGTCTCAGCGTGTCCCTGCTTACTGCATTCCAGCACAAGCAAGCCCGTTAGCTTCTGGACAGACAGCAGCGCCTGGACTCCAGGCCACCTTCCTGGCTATCTTTAGAGGTTCTGTCTCCCATCCCTTCTCTTTCTCTACCCACTTCCCCTTTTGGGAGCTCTTTTTCTCTCTTCCCCGCTCCTCTTTGCAATGCTGGCTCTGCCTCCGTTTTTCTCCATCCTCCCTTCCACAGTCTCTGTCCTCTCCTAACACCCGCCAGCCTTCTTTAGAAGACGTTTCCTATTTCTCTCTAGATAACTGCAACACATCCTCAGAGAGCTCCGACACCTCGGACAGCGCCGGCCGCTCGCCTCCCCCCTGCCAGGTAACGGACCCTCCCAGCCATCCCAGCCCTCCATAGGCATATGGGGTCCGAGAACTCAGGCCACTCGGATACCGAGATGGGAGCAAGAAGGGAGGGGCTTTGCGAGTCCCCGCAGCATCCTCAGGAAAGGGTGATTCAGCATTCACACACAGCCCCTCGCCCACTCGGATCCAAGTGGGTCCGAGTGGGCTGTAAAACGGAAGTGCTGCCCAGCCAGTGTGGCTCAGTGGTGGAGCATGGACCCATGTACCAGGAGGTCAAGGTTAGATGCCTGGTCTGGGCACATGCCTGGGTTACAGGCTCGATCCTTAGTAGGGGGCATAGAGGAGGCAGCCAATGAATGATTCTCTCTCATCGTTGATGTTTCTATTTCTTTCTCCCTCTCCCTTCTCTCTCTGAAATCAGGCTCACCACCTTTTTTGTTTTGTTTTGTTTTTTTTTGTTTTAAATGGAGTGCTCATGGGAAGCCTCCTTCTCCCCATATCCTAGTCACTGGGCCACTGCTCTGAGTCTTGACCTCATTTGAATTGATTCTCTACATCTTTCTCCCTTAAACCAATGCATCCCCTGCAGACAGGAGGAACAAAGGCATTGGCAATCTTCCTCACTGCCCTGACCCTGCTCTCAGCCGTGACTGCCTGGGACCCAGGCTCCTTCTCATCCAGCCGGGGCCAAGCCTCTCTGAGTGAGAGTTTGGTCCTGGGGTCCTACCTCCTCCAGACATGGGAGGAATCTTTTTTTTTCTTTTCATTTTTTTATTAAGGTATTATTTGTGTACATATCTTATCATTGCCCCCTCCACTCCACTCCCATACATGCCCTCACCCCCCAGAGTTTTGTGTCCATTGGTTATGCTTATTTGCATGCACACAAGTCTTCTGGTTGATCTCTTATCTCCCCCACCTCTCCCTAACCTTCCTGCTGTAATTTGACAGTCAGTTTGATGCTTTCCTATCTCTGTACCTATCTTTTTGTTCAACAGTTTATAATTTTCTTTATTATCCATAAATGAGTGAGATCATGTGGTATTTTCTTTCATCGACTGGCTTATTTCACTTAACACGATGTTCTCCAGTTCCATCCTGATTGCTGCGAATGGTGGGAATTCCTTCTTTTTATGGCAGCATAGTTGTGTAGATGCACCATAGTTTTCTGATCCAATCATCTGCTGACGGGCACCTAGGCTGTTTCACGGGAGGAATCTTGACCTAGCCTCCTCCGCTCTTTTTCCCCAAGGCCGCCAAGAAGGTGAATTACACACAGGTGGTCTTTCCAGCCACAGGAGGACTAGATAACGAATCCGCCCTGGACTATGAGGACATCGAGGACATGACAGATTATGTCAATATCAACCCAAAAAGCCACAAGCACAACCTCTGGACTTTTGTGAACCCCGCTGCCTCTGAGCCCGTGGAGTACTCCCAAGTGGCCATGTGACTCCTAGGGTCTGCCTTTCTAAGTGGAGTCAAGTTCTCTACACATTCTCCTACTTATTTTGTAGGGAATTACTTCCTGTTTGTGTGTGTGTGTGTGTGTGTGTGTGTGTGTGTGTTTTCTTAACAAAGCTTGGGAGAAGAAATGGGCTGTATCTCAGCAAGGAAAGCTCAGATGGGAAGTTAGGAAGATCTTCCAGGTTGAGTCTGAGCTCACTGAAGCAGATCAGTGAGCTCAGAGCTCAGATGAAGTAGGGAAAGTGGGGAAGTCTCCATAGAAAATTGTTTCTAAAGATTTTAATCAGCTGTCGTAGAGTCCTGTTTGGCAGCCTTACAATTAAATTAACCTTTGAGCTATTTCATTATTGGCAGTGAACAACTTCCTTAAAAGATTTTTTAAATAAAATGGCGGCCCCGGTTCCTCTTTTCCTCTTGCCCAGCCAGGCGTGTCCCTGTCTCAGAGCTGTGCTGCTGAGTAATCCCGCTTTGCCCTCAGAACTTTAAATAGTCCACTTAGAAAGCCCACTATCGCTCAACCTTTGGACTCACTGTTTCTTATGAATGAAAGATGACAAATACTGCATCAACCAGCATCTCAATCTGTTACTACAAGAACAACTTTCTAAATTTAATCTAATAAAGTCCAATATCCATTCCTGTTTTGTTGTTTCCTTTTTAACCAATCCTATATAATAATCCTATATAATAAAAGGGTAATATGCAAATTGACCAAACAGCAGAATGACAGGTTGCAATAATGCACACTGACCAGCAGGGGGCAGATGCTCAATGCAGGAGCTGCCCCCAACTTGCAGGCCTTGATCGCTGGATTGGAGCCTGCTGGCCAAGCTCTTAGTCCCTTCTTCCAGTGGATAGGGTCTAGTCACCTGATGGGGTATGGGGAACAAGGGGTGGGCAGTGACAGGTTCGGGCAGTGCCAGGCCAAGGCTCTTGCTCTGCCATTCGCCCCACACACAGCGGGTGACCTGTGGCAGAGGGTGGGGCTGACTATCAGGTGGGAATGGCCAACCTCTGGGTCCCACTCCCTGGCCAGCAGGCTCCAATCGCCTGATGGCAAATGGAGAACTGAGGGTGGGTGGCGATGGGTGGCTGGGCTGGCTGCTGGCAGTCGGGGAAGATGGCCCTGATCACAGGTAAGGACTAGGGACCAGACCTGAGCTTAATTTCATGTTAGGAACAAAAGGACACTTCCTTAACTGGATTAAGAATAGCTTATCTGCTGAAACAGGTTTGGCTCAGTGGATAGAGCATCAGCCTGCAGACTGAAAGGTCCCAGGTTTGATTCCGGTCAAGGGCATGTACCTTGGTTGCGGGCACATCCCCGGTGGAGGGTGTGCAAGAGACAGCTGATCGATGTTTCTCTCTCATCGATGTTTTTAGCTCTCTATCCCTCTCCCTTCCTCTCTGTAAAAAAATCAATAAAAAATATTTTAAAAAAAGAATAGCTTATTTGAAATCGATAGATGCGAGATATTTAACTCTAAGGTCCTAGACATAGTCCTATTAGATCATGAACAAAGTAAAAGTGCCCACAAACCTGCTATTTCCTTCATTATCTAAAATCATTCTAGAAGTTCTAAGCAGTTCAATTAAACACTTGACAAAAATAAGGGCTTTACCTATTGGAAAGTAGGATGAAATTTGTCATTGTTTGCAGATACCCTAGTCCTAGGAAACCTCAGAGAATTAACTTTTAAAAAAAAAAACCTTAAAATTGATTGCATGCAGAAAGCAGTGACTAGAGGAATATACAATATACTTTCTCCAACAGTTAGTTAAGACAGATTTTTTTTTTTACATGTTCACCATAGCTAAACATCTGCCAAAGTGGAAACCCTAGGAATACTCGTAGCCAAATTGAAACTCCAGATGAGTGGCATTCAGATCTTAGAGATGATTTATGAACTTGCTCCCTCTGCTGGCCGAAAATGACTTTCTAGCCCTGGTTCTGGAGCAGTAGGTGGCTTTCTTAGACCCTTTTCCCCCAAGAAACTGAAGAAATGGTTCTGCCTTGGTTTCTATGGCTGATCTATATGTCCCTTCACCTTAGCCTGTTGCTCTTTCCTGCTAGATTTCAATGTTTCTGCCCCCTCCCCTCCTCCCTGCCGAATTCATATGTAGAAATCCTAACCTCCAAGGTGATGGCATTAGGAGATGGGGCCTTTGGGAGGTGATTAGGTCATGAGGGTGATGCCCTTCTGGATGAAATTAGTGCTCTTATAAAAGAGATCCCACAGAACTCCCTAATCCCTTCTGTATATGCATAATTGTTTTCAGAGAGAAAGGGAGAAGGAGAGAGAGATAGAAACATCAATGATGGGAGAGAACCACTGATTGGCTGCCTCCTGCACACCCCCTACTGGGAATCAAGCCCACAACCCTTGCATGTGCCCTTGACCAGAATTGAACCTGAGGTCCTTTAGTCCACAGGCTGACTCTATCCATTGAGCTAAACTGGCTCTGGCAGCCCTTCTGTCTTATAAGATACCATGAGCAGTCCGCAGCCTAGAGAGGGCCCTCACCAACCATGCTGACACCCTAATGTTGGATTTCCAGCCTCCAAAACTGTGAGAAACAAATTTCTGTTGTTTACAAGCCACCCAGTCTGTGGCATTTTGTTAGGCAGCCAGATGGATGGAGATAGCTCCGTAGAAAGCTTTTCTTAATGGAGAAAAGGAGATTCTATTGATTAGAGGGGCCGAAAGAGGAATAAACACTGACAACAACACTTTCTGTGCATCCAGAAGTGGAACTGTACTTCTATTGATCGCTTTCGAAAAGAAAAAACATACACAAAACAAACAAACAAAACAACAGAGAACTGAAGAGGTTCAGGATGTACAATGCAGCCAAAAGAGAGTGCACGGGGACACGGCCCAGACCATTCCCACGCCGGGAGAGGGGACGGGGCAGCCGCACACTCACACAGTTGCGCAGATCGAGTGCCTGCTTTCTACAGAACATGGACAGGCCGTGGGGGTGGGGAGGAGCATGCGTAAAATGAAGGCTGAGCAGCTGTGTGGGTGGGGTACCTAGCATGCATGACCTAGTTATGACAACAGGCAGGAACATGTGCAAAATAACATGTGGCAGAGGGGAATTAACAGAGCAGTGAAAGCAGAGCCTATCAATGTCAGGCAAAGTTGGTGCAAGAGTGTTAGGATTAGGTGGACCCAATCAGAGAAAACAGCCCACAGAGAGGTGCTTCTGAACTCAGCTTAGAAAGAAGGGTGGGCCCTGGCTGGTTTGGCTCTGTGGATAGAGCGTCAGCCTGCAGACTGAAGGGTCCAGGTTTGATTGTGGTTGAGGGCACATGCCTGGGTTGCATATGCCAGTGGGGGTGTGCAGGAGGCAGCCGATCAATGATTCTTTATCATCATGGATGTTTCTATCTCTCTCCTTCTCTAAAATCAATAAAAGCATTTTTTTAAAGGGTAGAAATCTGATGGGAGAAGAGGCAGAAAAAAAGGGGGCAGGCCTGACTGGATGCAGGCTCTCTGAACTGCATGGGGTAATGTCCGTGCCTGGGCTCAGAGACAGTGGGGAGCCTTGGATCAGGGAGTTGTTGTCAAAGAGAACAGAGGCCTGAATGTCACCGACCATATGATTAAAGTCTGTATTGAACTCCGCTAAGTTTGGCTTCAAAAGTATGGCATGTTAGAGCCAATACATATATCATGGAGTTAATATTAGCACCCACCCTGATTGCTTATAAAGGGCAGGCGTTCTTGGGGAGTGTTGTTGAGGAAGCAAGTTGAAAGTGGCTCCAAGTGACTGACAGAGGCTTGGCTGACTGTCGATGGTGCAGATGACTCCTCAGATGCCCCGGTAAGTAGAGAGAAGGGCTCGTTTCATGTGCTAAGGAGTTTGGGCCAAGAAGCTGGAGAAAGCTAACAACTTGAACTGCTCCTCAAAGTCATTGCTAGTCATGTTGCCAGAAATAAAGTGGCCTTTTGCTTAGGATTCTCCTGGGAGCTTAGAAGGTTGGCTGCCTAAATGTGAATGAATGGTCACCTGTACAGTTTCTAATACAGTGAAGTCACTTTCTCCCTTGTGGTATGTCATCGGCACCTGCAGGGAACAGTCAAGCTGCCCCACTCACTCTGGGTTCCTCTGTGGGTGAGAACTGGATGAAAACCTCTCCAAAACTATCTTATAAGAAGATACAGAGAAACTGACTTGCTATTGGCAACCTGGTGATGGTTGGTTACATGATAATAATGAACTGGGAATAAACAGTGTACCAGAATAAAGTCCAGCTGTCTTCAATCCATTCTTATTCTAAAGGAGAAAGCACCCAAATGCCCACCTTAGAACTTCAGAATTCCACGAGGGACCCTATCTTATTGGCCAGCAAGACCCAATAGGATGAGGAGGTATTTTATGCCCAACATCAGTGGTTTTTTTTTTGCTCTTGGGATGAGAACAGGTTGGGGGTGGGGAGGGGAGAGGGGAGGAGACAGGCTCTCAAGAGGCCTTCTACACCAAGCCCTCAGCCTCTAAACCAAACACATTATAGTAACTCCATCTTATCTGGGTTTATTGTTTTGTTTTGTTTTGTTTTTTGTTTTGAGGTCCCACTGGCTCCCTTAAACACTCCCTCTTTCAGGCAGGAATTTCTACACTCAGTCTTTCACCTCTTGCTCTTTGCCCTTCCTTGCCAAATACATCCTCCCTGAGCTTCGCGAGAAAGAAGCATGTGTCCAGGTACCTCAGGAGAATTGGGTCAAATGAGAGCCCAAGACTCTAGAACTTTAGGGAAAGTTCCTATGGCTTTAGAGCTGGGAGGCTGGTGACTTTCCCAGCCTACCCCAAGGTCATTACTGTTTCAAACCCACTTATAGCTCCATACTGCCACTGTGTGGCTCCAAGGAAAATTGCACTCTTGTTTCTTCTCACTAGTAAACTGGATGATGGGGCTCCAGGAACGTGGCTCCCCACACCTCAACCTTCCCCTTGCCCATGCCCTGCTCAAGGAGATAA